CCATCCCAACATCTCAAACCCATCCTGTGTCAGAATTCCAGGATTCAGGGGTTGGATATCCTGGATTTTAAAGGGATTTGTGGGTATGAGGGTGGGATATTCCAGATTTTAAGGGGGTTGGGAATGACCTGGAGCTTCCTGGCCATGGCCACCACGTCGTGGTCGGGCGGGTTGTACTTGTAGCAGTTGGAGAACATCAACCGCACGTCAGCCGCGAATTCCTGCGCGTCGTGGTAGTCCCGGTTCTCCATCTTCCTCTGGGGGGGCAAAAGGGACAGGGGTGACCCCCCAAACCACCCCAAATCCACCTTGGGGACCCCTCAAACCCCCCCTGTGGTTCCTCTTGGGAATCCCCCAAAACACTCCTTGGGGACGCCTCAAACACCCCCTGTGATTTCTCTTGGGAATCCCCCAAAACCCCACAAAACCCTCCTGGGTCCCTTCCCTCAACTCCCCCCGAGGTTCCCCCGAGGATTTTCGGGATTGCCGGCTCCGGGGGGGGGGTTCCAGGGCCCCCACCTTGATGGTGCTGAGATCCATGGGGTGCTTGATGATCTCGTGGTAGTCGTGGAGCCCCAGGGCCGAGGCGTCCACGGGCTTGTAGAAGGGCCACGCGTAGGCCGCGTGCTTCTTGGACAGCAGCTCCTTCAGGATCCCGTTGCAGTACTTGAGCTGCTCCGAGAGCTTCCCCTTCTTGGAAGTTTGGTGCTGCTGGGAATCCGGGAGGTCCTTGCGGGGGGGTTTGATGGGGCGGCCGCTCTCGCGCCGGGCGGGGATCTTGGCGGGTTTCGGGGGGTCCGGGGGGGCTCCGGAGGCCGAGGGGGACGGGGAGGACTCGCCGCCGGTGCTGGTGGCGATGATGGCCGTGGTGGTGGGCGTGGTGGTGTCGGCTTTCCGCTTCACCCCCTTTTTCTGGGAAGAGGGAAGGTGGGGTCAGAAGGGTCGAGAGGGGGAGGGTTTGAAGGTGGACCGGCAGGTGGGACCCCCGTCCTCGCATCTGGGACCCCTGGTTTGACGTGTGGGACCCCCATCCCAACATCTGGAACCTCCATCCCAACATCTGGAACCTCCATCCCAACATCTGGAACCCTCATCTCCACATCCAGAAACTCCATCTTAGCACCAACATCCCTCATCCCAGTGTCTAAAACCTCCATCCCAACACCAATATCCCTCTTCTCAGTGTCCAGAACCCCCATCCCAACACTCAGAACCTTCATCCCAGCACCAGCATCCCTCTTCCCAGTGTCCAGAACCCCCATCCCAACACCCAGACCCCACATCCCACCTCCCCCAGAATTCCCACCTTGGCCACGGGCTGCGTGGGCGTAGGCGGGGCCAGGACGGCCGGAGCGTTGGGATGCAGGGATTTCAGGATGGGGGCGGAGATGACGGAGGGGTGGGGGATGTTGACGATGGTTGTGGGGATCTCGGGGGTCGTGGGGGGGTACACTGTGGGCTGGGACACCGAGGACACGGCCGGGACCTGCTGAGCCGCCGTCAGTCCCGCCAGGAGCGCTGCAAACGGGGAGAGAAAAAAACCTGGGAATGCTGCTGTTATCCCAAGGGACACCCGGGGGAAAAGGGGCTGGGCCCCCCCGGGGGCCTCTCAAAGGATACAGGGAATACATGGAGCCAAGTGTTGGAGACCCCCTGGGCCCTCCACTGTCATCCCAAGGGACACAGGGAACACCTGGAGACGGGGATTGGGGACCCCTAGGAATACCAATGTTATCCCAAAGGACACCCTGGAATACTGGTGCCGGGTCTGGGGACCCCCAGGACCCCTCAATGTCACCCCAAGGGACACAAAGCACCGGGTGGAGCTTTTGGGGACCCCCCACTGTCACCCCCACCCATTCCCAACTTTTAGGGCCCCCCTTTTCCTCACCTGCCGCCCTGGACGCCCCCTTTTTATGGCTGTTCTTGGCCACGGGCACCACGATCTCCTGCTCCTCCGGAGGCATCTGGGCCACCTTCTGCAGGAAGATCTTCTCCAGGGTCTGCGCCATCAGCACGATGTCATCCGTGGGCTGTGGGAACCGGTGGATCCGGAGTCAGGGAACGCCGGGCACGGCTTTTGGGGGGTGCCAGGGGTGTTTTGGGGGCGGTCCCACCTTGTTGTAGATGTAGCAGTTGGTGAACATGGTGTTGAAGTCCTGCATGCACTCGGCTGCCCCCCAGTAATAGTTGTTCTCCAGGCGCCTCTTGATGGTTCCCATATCCATGGGCTGCTTGATGATCTTGTGGTAATCCTGGGAAAACAGCAACAACGGGGGTCGGGGGGTCACAGTGGGGTCACTCGTGTTCAGCTAAAGGGGGGTTTAGGGGGTGGAAAGGGGGGAAGGGGAGGAATTCCCTGTGGATGTGGTGGGAATGTTGTTGGAAGCGGCTGGGAGGTGACACAGGGGTGGGAGTGGGAATTTAAGCTGAATTTAAGGGGAATTTAAGTTAAATTCAAGAGAAGTTTAAGCTAAATTTCAAGTGGATTTAAGCTAAAGTTGAGGTGAATTCAACCTAAACTTGAGGTGGATTTAAGCTTAACTCGAGATAGATTTAAGGTAAACCTGAGGTGGATGTAAACTAAATTCAGAAGGAATTTAAGATAAACTTGAAGTGAATTGAAGCTAAATTCAAGGTGAACTAAAGCTAAATTAAACCCTAAATCTAAGGAGAATTTAAGTTGAACTTAAGGTAAATTCAAATTGAACTTAAGGTGGATTTAAGCTAAACTTCAGGCAAATCAGAGCCAAACTTACGGGGAATTTAAACTAAGTTCAAACTGAATCTAAGCTACATTTAAAGTGGATTTATATTGAATTTAAGGTAAATTTAAGCTGAGTTAAGGTTAAACTTCAGATGAAGTTCAGCTAAATTTCAGGGGAATAAAAACCATACTGAAGGTGGACTGAAAATAAACATGAAGTGAATTTAAACTGAACTTCAGATAAACTGCACCAAAGCTTCAGGTGGTTTTAAGCCAAATTAAAGGCAGCTTTAAGGGAAATGGAAACTGAATTCAAGCTAAAGGTGGATTTATAACACAGATTGAAACCAAATCTAAGGTGGATGTAAGGTAAACTTTAGATGAATTAAACCTAAGCTTTAGCTGCATTTAAGCTAAACTTAAGGTGAGTTAAAGCTAAACTTACCAGGAACTTGACTTAAATTTAAAGGTAAACTACAGCAAATTTAGAGTGAATTTAAACTAAACCTATCTTGAACTGAACCTAAATTGAAGATGAATTGAAGGGCAATTAAAACCAAATTTCAGGGGGCAATTTAAGCTGGGCTTAAGTCGAGCTTAAGCCGAATGGGAACAGCAACCCCTCCGGTTTGAATTTACCTCCTCGGGCTTTAACTCCTTGGGCGCCACAGGTGCCTTAAATTTGGGGGCCTCGGGATGTCTTCTACAAACTCATGGATGGGAGACATCTGCAAAACGCATTCAGGGCACAAGAGATTAGGTCGGGAAGCGCCGGGAATATCCCTCATCCATAACTTTGTAGGGACATCGGGAGCCCCGGGGGTGGGCGTAGGATGGGATAACGGGGTGACACCTGTGGCCGAGCGGGATCAAAATAAAGCTGGATCTACCTCTGCCTGAGTGGGATTAAGGACTGGGGGGAGAGGGGGGGGGTTGCACACCCACACGGAATTCCCGGCATTCCCACCCTCAGGAATTACCGGCAGGCCCAGCTTGACGGCGTCCACGGGCTGGCGGAAGGGCCACGCGAACTGGTGCTTCCACAGCGCCTTCATCACCACCTTGTGCAGGTACTGGAGCTGGTTGGTGATCCGGCCGGGCTTTTTGGGATTGGAAACCTCGGGAGGCGGCGGATTGGCCTGAGGGTTGGGAAGGGCCGGAGCCGAGGCCATGGTGGGGCTCTCGAAGCCCTCGTAGAGCAGCGAAGGTTTGCGGATCCGCTTCCCGGGAGTCGACTCCGTCGGCGTCGCCAGCGCCATGAGCCCGGCATTGCCCTCCCCCAGGAGCCTGCGAGGGAGGGGAGAACACGTGGGATTCAGGGAGGGGATTCCCGGGACAGAGTCCCGGAAGGAGCTGAAAGTGGCGCCTGGAACCGCTACGGAGCGTTCCCGTTACCACCGTTCAGATCTTTGGGGATGAGGGGGAGCTTCCCAAGGGAATTCCGGCCTGAACCCCCATGGATTTCAGCCATAAACTCCCAGGAATTTTGGCCACAAACTCTCAGGAATTTCAGCCCTGAACCCCCATGGATTCTGCCCAGGAGACCCCATATTCCCCCCAGGAATTCTGTCCATAAAGTCCTGGGAATTTCAGCCCCGAACCCCCATGGACTTGGCCACAAACCCCCAGGAATTCCAGCCACGAACTCATGGGAATTTTGGCCCTGAACCCCCACGGATTTTGTCGTGAACCCCCAGGAATTCCGGCCATGAACTCCCAAGAATTCCAGCAACAAACTCCTGGGAATTTCAGACACAAACCCACATGGATTTTGCCACAACCCCCCAGGAATTCCGGCCGTGAACTCCTGGGAGTTTCAGTCACAAATCCTCACAGATTCTCCCCAGGAGCTCCCACGGATTTCAGCCACCCGGCAATGCCCTCCCTCAGGATGCTGTGGGGAGGGGACACACAGGGGTTAAGGGAAAAGGGGGATGGATCTGCTTCCCAGGATTCCCGGGAGAGAGTCCCGGAAGGAGCTGACACTGCTCCTTGAGCTGCTATTGGGGCCGAAGCAGCACCGAAGCAGCGCCGTTACCACTGTCCAGATCTTTGGGATGAGGAGGAGCTTCCCATGGGAATTCTGGTCGTGAACCCCCACGGATTCTGCCCACGAGCTCCCACAGATTTCAGCCATGAACTTCCATGAATTTTGGCCATGAACTCCCAGGAATTCTGGCCATGAACTCCTGAGAATTTCAGCCACAAACCCCATGGATTTTGGCCAGGAATACCCGGGAATTTTAGCTGCAAAATTCCATGAATTTTGGCCATGAACTCTCGGGAATTTCGGGCAGGATCCCCCATAGATTCTGCGGAGGAGCTCCCATGGATTTCAGCCACGAACCCCCAGGAATTCTGACCGTGAACTCCCGGGAATTTCAGACACGAACCCCCGTGGATTCTGCGCAGGAGCTCCCACGGATTTCAGTTACGAACCCCCAGGAATTCTGGCCCTGAACTCCCAGGAAGTTCAACCCCAAACCCCCGCGGATTTTGCCATGAAACCCCATGGATTCCACCTATGAGATCCTGTGGATTTCAGCCACAAACCCCCAGGACTCTGTCCACAAGCTCCCAGAAATTCCCAGGAATTGCACTGATTTCTGGGAAAAATCAGTGGTTTAGAGCAATAATCAGCATTTTAGAGCAACCAGGGATCTGAGGGTCCTGAAATATCCAGAAAAAAGGAAAATTACGGAAAACAAACCAGGAAATGCCACAGTGGCCATGGGGACCCCCGGGACACCACCACCAAGGTTTGGGGGGATTCCCGGAACAGGGTCCCCCAGGACACAGTTTCCAAGGCTCCAGGGACCCCCAGAACACCCTCATCAAAGCTCCAGGGACCCCCAGGACACCAACACCAAGCTTTGGGGGGGGATTCCCGGAACAGGGACCCCCCAGGACAGCCATTCCAAGGCTCCAGGGACCCCCAGGACACCAACACCAAGGTCTGGGGGGTTCCCAGAACAGGGACCCCCAGGTACCAATCCAAAGGCTCCAGGGACCCCCAAGACTCCCCCAGAACTCCAGCTGTTCCCACAACCAGCTCCTGGCCGAGCTCTCGAGCCTCTCCCCCAGCTCAGCTTTGGGGGGGCTGAGACCCCCTTTTTTCCCTGAGCCGACCTCTGGGTGACCCCAGGAGTGTCCCCAAGGGCACGATCCCCCCATGACAAGGACAGAGTGACCCCCAGGGCCACTGTCACGGCTTGGGGGGGGTTCCCACAGTGTCACTGTCACAGCACGAGGCTCCCTCAGGGTCACATCCTGGGGGGGTCCCCAAGTGTCACAAGGTGGGGGTCCCACTGTATTGGGATGACACAACCTGGGGGTCCCACAGTGACACTGTCACGACATTGGGGTCCCACTGCATGGGGGTCCCACAGTGCCACAACGTGAGAGTCCCACAATGACACTGTCATGGCTTGGGGGTCCCACAGTATCACAACATGAGGGTCTCAACGTGGGGATTCCACAGAGACACTGTCGCAGCTTGGGGTCTTCAGTGACACAGTGTGGGGGTCCCACCATGTGGGGGGGGTCCCAAAATGACACTGTCACAACTTTGGGGTCCCACAGCGTCACAACACGGGGGTCCCACAATGACACCTTCCCACCCTGTGGAGCTCCCACAGTGCCACTGTCATGACACGGGGGTCCCACAATGACGCTGTCACAGCGTGGGGGTCCCAACTTGCGGGGGTCTCACAGTGCCACAAGGTGAGGGTCCCACAGTGACACTGTCACAGTTCAGGGGTCCCACTGCATGGGTATCCCAGACTGTCACAAGGTGAGGGTCCCACAGTGACACTGTCACAGT